ATGAGCCTTTCTACTAAAAGGTACTGTTCTCTTTGTAGATGTATTCAGGATCAAGAGAATGAAAATCCAATCATATTTGGAGTCAATAGATCCAGTGAAGGCCACTGAAAAACTGGGAGAAAAGTTTGGTAGATGGGAAAAGTCGTTTAAAAAAAATAATAATATAAAGAAAAGGCCACATGTATGACATGGCCTGTAGGCCTAATATAACTTTAAAATAACGCAACCCCCCTCTCCCCAACCCTTATTTAGGGCATACGTAATAGCCAAAATAACAAAACTCGTGTAAAGCAGTTTTCTTTACAATGGTTTTTTTTTTTTTAACTCATCACATATGTACATTTTCCATCACAGCCGTAGAATCTACATAAAATGTGATGTAGGCCTACCTACATACATGTTAAGTTTTCTTTTTAGTTTAATAATACATGTAATAATAATAGATATCATTTGTATAGCGCATATCCCCGCTCAACAGCAGGCTCTATGCACTTTACACTATATTATTACCCCAGCAGACCATAGAACACTCCGAAACATTCTCAGCTTCCCGGGGAAGTATACAGTGCAAGCAGCAGATTAAGCGCTCAAACACTAACAAACTGACAAGATCTTTCGCTGTCTATAGCCGGGTACCCATTCCCACCTGGGTGAAGTGAGGAAAATTCGTGTAAAGTGCCTTTCCCAAGGACACGTCGGGCCCTTGACGGGATTCGAACCCACGACCTTACGGTTGCGAGTCAGAGAGCCTAACCACTAGGCCACCGACGCCACAAAGTTTAGTTTTTGTGGAGGTTATACGGTGCTCGTGGCTGCATAAGGTCAAATGGTGTCTATGGTTTCTTGAGGATCATGCTTATGGTAATTCTTTAATGATGATGAAGCCCATTTTTGTAGAGATTTTACGGCGCTCGCAACTGCATAAGGTCATATGAGCGCCAGAAGATTAGAGGCGTTAAAAGAGAGTAACAAACATGAAAAAGAAGAAGGGGATATAAGGACGATAGATGTTTGATAGGAAAGAAGAACCAAACCACACCAGAGCACCCGCCAACCACCCACGAAGCCCATTTTTACTTGAACAGAGACGTGAACACAAGAAATGACATTCACTGGAGTTCAGAAAGACCAGAAAACGTCGTTGACCGAAACCTGCGCACACAGAATGCGTGGGTTGCAGTAGAACCTATTGGTCAGAACTGGTTCATATGGAAAGTGGAGACAAAAGCAGATGACGACAGAACATATGGTTAGAGAGCAGGAAAGAATATGAAAGAAGAAAATGTTCCATTGTTGTCAGGTCTCGAATCGAGGACCTATCGAATGAGAGGCAAACAGCATAACCTGTAGACCATGAGAGATTAACAAACAAATAAAAAAGGCAAAACAAACAGAAACAGCAGGTAAAGAAAAGTAGGATCACCCACCAACCACCCGTGAACTACAAGAAGAACCCTCCACAGCAGACAAATGGTGATCTCAAGATAAACAAACATCAGCTACAAAAAGTAGTACGACATTCAAATAAAAAACGCGACAAGAGGAATACAACATCCATAAATCTTTATTGCGCTTATCAACTGTTTACATTGGTGGGTTGTGTGAAAGTATACACATGCGTAGGTATAAAATACTTTTGAGGAGCAAATAAAGCAAAGCCGTAATCTGCATTACAAATGCGAACTGCCTTTAAAAATGGCCACAAGCTCTGAGGCAGAGGACTGGGAGAACCTTTTGCCTTGTTAGAAAACTAGCAACAAGCCAGGCAGTGTGGAAGCAGCAAGCTTGTACACTCATTCTCATTCAACGTCTACAAGACACTGCAGGGAATATTACCAACAGCTTTTGCTTGCGCACGCCAGCTTTCTATAGCATAAAAAGCATTCTTTGTGTTCTCAGCAAAATGGTCACATAATATTCATCAATAAACGACAATGACAGCAATAAACGACAATGACAGCAATAACGACTCTTTGTCCTGAAAATTCCAAGGAGTAGTGTCACATACGTCATTGCCTTACACTACTACTACTACTACACTAGGGGACCGCTTGATTTGTGGAGAATCATTAGAAGGAGAGGTGCTAACCTAACTACTGAACAAAATTCCTCAACTCCAGGGAAACTCAGAATTCATGAATCATTCTGTCTAATACATCTCATTATATCAGGACTTTTTATAATTAAAAAAAAAGAAAAAAGAAAAGAAAAAAAAAAAGCCAATAACAATTGGCCCAGTCGGGCAAAAAGTGGACACTTACACGAGTCCCAAGTTTCTGATTTATCTGAAATCTTGAAACCTCTCTATTTATAAAGCAAACCAATGCATCTTTATATCTCTCCAACAAACATGCATTCTGCGTAGGACCAAATTTCAATTTTATTTTTTTTTAAATTGGTGGTAACCGTAAACAAAGCTCACAGGAAATTCTTTTTCTGTTTCATCATTGCTCACACAAGTTGTACAAGATGGATGAAGTGGTCAGAAGCTGAGTTTAGCAACAGTCGGAATGTAACAGCAGACCACAGAGCTTGCTTTTTCTGTGGCCAAAACACATTTATTTCATTAGTACAATATATGTCACAGGAGGCACTCCGTTTGTCCCTACTTCTATCTCTGGGAAAAGAAAAAAAGCCACTGTTACTAGTGTTAATGTATTCCCCTCTAATCCCAAAGGTGTTATCAAGATTTCTGTTATCAATCTACTCACCATACCAAACCACTGAAAATAACATGTTACAAAAAAAAAAAAGAAAAAAAAAAAGAGGGGTGGTGATTTGTGGTGACGGAAAAAAAAAACTCAATTGTCAATAAACTGTTAAGACTCAGAAAACAGGACATTATCATAAGATATTCCCAGTCCCAGTAACCAGTACTGTAAAACAAAATCAAGAGTGTGAACAAACGGGCTTTTGGTTGTGCTGTGATTAAACAAACAGCCAACACGAATGACCACACACAGCAGAGCTCCTCCCAAGTTCAAGTCGCTACAATAACCCCACCCACAAAAGTCTGCACAACATCCAATTCAGTACAAGAAAGACACAAAAATCAAAGAAAAATTCACTGGCCACCAAAGGACTTTGCTATCATGTGCCACAGCATAAAAGGCCTATGTCAAGTAGCAAATTCTGCTTTTCATAATAAGTAAGGCACACAATGGATCCCTCCAACAGACATTCTGGGGCAACTACACAAGCGTATTATGCAATGTGAATCTTGACGCGAAATTCTGATCCTTTCAGATGGAAAGCCCCATGCTTATAATTTTATTTCACATAAATTACAACCTTAATAGGAAAGAAAGTTGCTGGTTTCTTGAACATCTTTTCGGTAGTACGAAAACGAAACCAGCCAAGCAAACTTGCCCTCATTTACGAGAGAGAAACAAACAGGTAGAGGGCTGAAAACTTACAGACAGCATACACAGGGACGTTATTATGGAAAGGCTGTGAACATACACAATACGCGGACCGTTTTGGTTGAAAAAAATAAATCAAAACATTTAAAGACAAAGTAAAATAGCGACAAACACACATCAAAAGAAAAAAAATTGGGATAATACAAATGAGGAATTGATTTTTAAAAAAACATGAGGTCAAAAATAAAAATTGAACACAACAGCTATAAACTATGGAAAAGAAGTCCCGTTTGTGCTAAGGATTGCGTAATATCAGCAGGAATATTTCAATTAGGAAAAATGTTCATCTGGCAAAATATAAGGCACTAGACATTGACGTTTGTCAAATCGAGAAAGATTATGGAAAATTCAATGATAGCCGGGCCTCTGGGCATGGTTAGCTTTGAACACATGTGGCTGATATCTATTTACAAAAATTGCAAGAGATTTCCACTCACACCGGAGGAGGGCACTTCGAAGACCTCACAAGTTCCAACCCCACCACACTCTGTACAAAATCCTGTGTGTGACATGTCATGACAATACACACAGCGGCATATCGCCGTTGTCACAAGCAATCCGCTCTAGTCCAAATTTTGAGAATTTTTCTATTTGTACACCGTTCCAAAGCTCTATCAAAGATATCACCAAAATGCAGCTTAATGCTACGGTCAAGGCTTAAAATGGTTTTGCTTTTCGTGATTCCTGGTAGGACTAACACAAGTTTTTTTGTCTGGTGTAAAAAAGTACAGAAAAGGACCAGAGAGGATTGCTTAAGACACTGACGATATGGCACGAGTGGCAGGAGGATACCACAGGAAGCTATGGTAACGATTCTACCAATATAATGAGCTCATTACTTCTCCCACAAGCTCTTGCCCTGTGGGAGCATCACCACACAAACAGCAACAGTGGAGTCGGCTCAAATCGAAATCTGTGGGGACCTTAGCATTTTTTAAAGGGGGGGGGGGGGGGGGGGGGGCTTTAAAAGGGTTGCTCAAAATTGGGTGTGTGAGCGTGTGTCCATGTGTTTGAGTTGTGCGTGTGTGATTAGGGATTCGATTTTCTTTCAGTTGTGCGTGTGTGATTAGGGATTCGATTTTCTTTCAGTTTACCGCTGTTTTCCAATTAAATGAGTTCTGTTTAAGCCGGCTCCACTGAACCCCCTTTCACACCTCGCCTACACAAAAGGTGTGCGGGGAAAAAATTAACGCAGCTGTGCCCACAGGTTAAGTACAGGCCTCACACGCCGTAACATATGTACATGAACACTTTCAGGAGTTATTTATATAATACTAAATATAATTCTACAACTTGGACTGTACACAGAGAAAGACAAGATTGGTCCTTTTGTTCTGGGGGCTCTTCAAGCCCTTTGGACATATTTGTGGGGAAATGTACACGGGAGTACACACTATAGCGCAGTAAAAACATTTGTGGCATAACTTACTGTCAAATATCTCAACGATCAACCGTAGAGGCTCCAACTTTTACACAATGACACATCAATTTGTCTCAGTAGATAAATACTTTTTTAACCACCTGTATTCTAGAACATTCTTTAATAAATACTGATAAAAAATCCCGGTGAGTGTTTACAGATTTTAAATACTGATAAAAAATCCCGGTGAGTGTTTACAGATTTTAAAATGTTGACATCCCATCAGCTGGGACAACGGCACTTTTAAAAGCAAGCCCGTCCGCCATCTTACCGTGACACAATTCTGATTGAAAGCATGTTTTGAGAACCTTTAGCGCAAAAAAAAATAAAATGTATTCACTGTAAAATTAGTTGAAGAGTTATTTGAAAATGATAAGTTGTGCTGCAAACTTTTTACTTCACTATAGTGTGTCATATACACATACATGGGCACACACTGCAGTGTGTCATATACACATATACGAACAAACACGGTTGTGTGCCAAAAATACAATACACCGGCACATACACATTTACCCGACTCCCAAGATCTCTGAATTTTCCCCTGCCTTGGAGACACTAAACATGACGGCAGCAAATTAAGAAAACTGATCGATACCTTTCAATATTGGAGAAAGGCATTCCTTTCAATATTGGAGAAAGACATTCTCAACACTGGTAATGTGGTGAAGAGAAACTAAACCTGGAGCCTGCTCAACCGTCCTAAAGTGACAAAAGTCCGGATATTAAAAACTAATAGACAAATGGGGGGTTTTTTTTCGGTTGCTTTTTAAAAAAAAACACCAAATTATGCAACTCAAAACTGGTGACTTTACACTAACAGGTTGCCATTAATAAATTTCTGTTCAACGAGCAAGCACGAAATCTCACACCCCCACCCAAGGGGAAACTGCCAAACGCCATTACGGGGAGATAGAGAGAGAGAGAGAGAGAGGGACAAAGGGACATGGGTATAACGATAATCACTAGGTTCTGGGCCACTGTTGTAAACGACAGTGCAAAATGCAATAAAGCAGAGACAGGGCCAGCCTGAAATTCCAAGTTCTGAATGCCACTCATTTCTCAGACGGTCTCCGGCCTGACACAAAATGCAAATTATAGGTTTTGGATCCCATTCAACACAACCATGTCAGCGGGGAGATTCTGAACAGGAGAACAGAAGAACAGACACTGATTAACTTTAACTCCTAAAGATTGTAAACAGGAGAACTGGTTACTTTGGTAGACGTTTACAAATAAAAATTTTCAATCATTTTCAGTGTGTGTGTGTGCGTGCATGGGGGTATTTTCAGAACAAGCTCGTAGGTAAGTTAATGAATTGGTTTTATTGATCAATATTATGGTCTGTGATTTTAGAAAATGAGAATCTTAAAGAAAGATTGTTCAAATTCTATCAAAGAAACACTCCCTTCTCCTTCTCATGAAATGGCACTAGAGGCTCTTAAGTTCTGGAATCCATGACAGCTTAAACTTTATAATGCCCAACCCAAACATCCAAGCCGCGATCAGACAAAGAAGCATTGTGCTCCGCGACAAATGCCAAAGAATGTCTTAAAATGCTCCAGGCATAAACTTGTCTTTACCGAACCATAAAATACAAAAGTACACCTTTAGATTGAAAATACTGCAAAGATAAAAGTAACAATTCTTTAAAGACAAAATATGTGTGAAATTATATATAGAAATAGAAAGAAATTTTTTTTTCTCATAAGACTAGTTTACTCAGCAGAAAAGAATAAGAGACGCCCCAAAAGTGATCTATTTCCAGTGTGACTGTGAACCTTACTTTTCTAGTCCCCTACTTGGGCCTGGACAGAGGCAGGAACAGAGCTACAAAGTCCACAGTTAAAAGGAACCATGAACTGCAGAAAGGAATGGGGCCCTAGGTGTCTAGATGTCATCTTCATCGCTGGCTGCCTCAAACATATCCAGCAGGTTCTTGGGCTCTATCCCGGCTTTCGGCTCGTCACACTCCATCGTGGTCAGCGAACAGATGGGAGGCGGCGTGCCTGACCGGTTGTCGCCGTCTGGACACGGGCGCTGGCTGTCGGTTGGCAAGACCCGAGAGGACGGGGTGCTGGTTATTGAACTGGTAAACAGGGTCCTGCAAGGAGAAAACTGGACATCAACCTCTGGCTCTTTCATGAGCATGGACAAAACCAATCCAAAGAAAAGAAAACAAAAACAAAAACAGCCAGATGGCTGCAACAGACCCACCACCTGATCTTTAGTTGTAACTGTAATCAATAAAACCATTACCTAACAAATGTTTCAAAACACTTCAACAGTAGTTCTCTAATCATCTCCCTCTATTGAGCCTACATTTTTCAGCCTTACGATGGACAAAATGGTGGGTACTGTGGAGGTGGGGTGGGGAGTGGTGGTGTTAAACATTATGTGGGCACTGTGGGGGGGTTTTGGGTAGTTCTTTTTTAACATTACACATTATGATAGTGAAAAGCAATTTCTAAGCAAGCATTGAAGTTTTTACACTCAAAGCTTAACACAGAGAAGAACAAAACAGTCTTTAGAGAAATAAAGGGGCCCATAATTCCCAGTGAAGGAAATGAAAACGAGTTTTGTTTTTTTACCAACAAACTACTCCTTGGAGATTACAACGGTCAAAACATATCCTCATTGAGCACACATAAGGTTAGCCAGCTGTTTCAGATGTTTTATAGCAGCTTTTTAATCTGCGGTATTAGATGCATGCATGCACTCCAGACACGCTTGTTGAAATTTAAATTCTAAAAGTTGGGGAGAAAAAAGGTGAGTAAAAGATACATAATTACCATACAATTTTTTTTAAATGACACAAGTTTATTTTCTTTCCTGAACAAAATTTGCATAACAGTATGCCCACAGTATGAGTGTTTGCTTTAAATATACACGAATCACAATGCAAACACTTAAGAGTATGTATGCAAATCCTCTCGCTGCATTTTTCCACTGTTCACATACCTTTTGATTGGCGAGCCATTATTAAGAACAGTTGTAGCCGGCCGTCTGCGCAGGGCAGGGGTTGTGTATGCTCGCCGCGGAGGGGGATCACTGTCATCAAACAAAAAAGGGAGAAATTTGTTAACTCAAACTGGGTCAGGACAGCAGGGAAGGGAGAAATTTGTTAACTGGGTCAGGACAGCAGGGAAGGGAGAAATTTGACAACTGGGTCAGGACAGCAGGGAAGGGAGAAATTTGTTAACTGGGTGAGGACTGCCCTCACAACAGCATAAGGTCATATGAGCACCAAAGGGTGGATGTCACCAAAGAAGCTCAAATAAATAAATAAATATATAAATAAAAACCACAAAAATAAAGAGGTATCAAAAGGAGAGATAAGGAACATAGACATTCGATTAGGAAAAAAGGAACAAACAGCACTAAAGTACCCGCCAACCACTCACTAAAAATATCTCAACAAATCAAAATGTACAACGTTTTACTGAAATAGTTTAAAAAAAAAAAAAAACTTCCTAAAACAAACACTACTTACACTGGCATAGCAAACTCGTCGGAAGAATTAAGTAAGTCTGAGCCGTGAGTGCGACGGTCGTGATCGTCGGCCAGGAAATCATCTGTTCAGAGACAACACAAACAATTTGCTTCGTTGAGTCAACCCACAACAACAACATCAGCCTACAATACAATCAAAGATTGTACACTACAAGCTGCTCCACTCTTTTACGGGTGACCCCCCCCAAACAAAAATACCATTTAGGGGGGGGGGGGGGGGGGGGGGGGGGGGGGAGGAGGGGGGGAATGCTTACAGCAACATCTATACAACAGCAGATTTCCTACCACTTTTATGCAGTGACCTACATGCATTTCTCATACCAAAACTAGGAGCAAAGATTGCTCAAAACAAATCTCTATTTTAGAAACAAAACAACAAAACAAAAACGCTGGCATCAACGTCAGTAGTGACATCTATAAAATTGTAAATAATCCAGGATTGCATTGAGAGTGAATCATCATATAATGTTTCATCTTTTAAGATTATACAATCCCCATAAAGAGGAAAAATAAAAATATCAATAGCTGTTAACTTGTGAGCATTGACCACATGTAACTCCCCTCCAAACCCTCAACACACATAATATTGTGAGTAACGGTAACTCCCATTGACTTTTATAATAAAGCCTTTGTTTTTTATCCCATTATTCAAATTCTAGTCTTGAAAGTTCATAATTTTTCTGCAATATCGGAAAGTCAGTGTAGAGGAAGGCTGGAATAAAGCGAATATGTATTTTCAGACTGGGGAAAAAAAAAAGACTTCTGTAGCCCTAAAAATGCATCTAGATTTTATGTTTTGTTTGTTTTAGTAGAGGATTTACGGCGCTCGCAACTGCATACGGTCATAGGCGCACCAGAAAATTATAGGTTTTTAGTTTTAGTAGAGTTTTTATGGCGCTCGCAACTGCATAAGGTCATGTGAGCGCCAGACGATTAAAGGTGTTACAAGAGAGTAACAAACATAAAAAAGAAGGGGAGATAAGGACGATAGATGTTTGATAGGAAAGAAGAAGCAGACAACACCAGAGCACCTACCAACCACCCACATCTACATTTTACGTACCAGTTGGCAGCTATGAATATCTATCACCCGGACACTTTAAAAATTGAAACAACTGGATTCTTCCCAAGACATATAAAGTACAGTAAGACCAAAACCTGGCTCAGGACATAAGGCGTAGTTCTAAGTTCGGCAAGCCACAATACATTAAATATTTCGGACTGAGCAAGAAATTAACAAAGTTCCCGGAGTTCAGCACACAATACCGGAAGAAGTTCAAAGTGACTGCAAAATGAAATTCAAAGGTGTTAGTAAGAGTTTAACGCAACTTGCAATACACTAAGGTCATATAAGAGTAGAAGTTTAGAGGTGTTACAAGAGAGAAACAAACATAAAAAAGGAGGAGAGATCAGGACAATAGATGTTTGATGGCAAAGAAGGAGCAAACCACACCAGAGCACCTGCCAACCACCCATTCAAAGGTGTTACAGTCTCATAAGTTAACACAGATAAAGGTTCTGACAGTGCTTAAGTCTCAACACACATGGGTACACTTACCGTCAGAGCTGCAGTCTCTGTCCGACTTGGGACTCTGTCGACCATTTGGACCCTGAGGGGGTGTGTGGGGCTCGGCGTTGGCAGATAAAAGGCTTCCTGGTCTCTGTGGAACAGACGTACACAAAAGCTTTTGCCAATGAACAAAAGTCAACAACACCTTCAGTGAATGAACAGCGGTAAATGAACTTTTCAGTGAATGAACAAGGGGATAAACAAAATTTGTCAATGAACAAAGTGAACAACATTTTCTATGAATGGATGCACATAAACTTTTTGTAAATCATCCAATGTAAATAAGCTGTTGGTGAATGAACAAAAAAGTAAACAACTTTTTTTTCAAACATTGAGAAAACGTCCTATGAACGATCAACATTCCAAGCAAAGCTTTCTGTCAATGAACAAATTTAAACGCATAAATAAAACTCCATTTAGCTGTACAAAAGCAAAATGGCAACAAAAAGTTTTGGTAAAACAAGTATGTTGTACCTCTGTAAAAGCATGTCGACTAGCTCTCTACAATACATAAGTTTTTAATTTCAACAAACAGCTTCAATCTTCAGCCTTTTATAGTTTTTAATTAAAACATTTTTAAGAAAGAAAAAAAAATAGAGGGTTTTACGGCGCTCGCAACTGTATAAGGTCATATATGAGCGCCAAGGGTTGTGTGTCAACAGAGAAGTCTTTACAGGGAATCAGACTTAGACTGCTCACCTCTCTAGCTTCAACAGCACAAGGTCTGCTTCGACTATCAAGGCACCCAAAAATAGCAGGTCACAAGAGAGAGACACATACAAAAGAAATAGAGGGAAAAAGGACAATAGTAAGGATTAGGACAAAAAAAGCAGCAGTTCCCAGTTGTAGATCAGGCACAGTTATGAGCATGACATGAATCAGCCCATTTACAATTCTACTTTGCTTGAACGAGAAATGTCCCCCCTTTGGGAATGGCCTAAAGACACTACAGTCAGTGGCACTGCCCCGGGGGAGGGGGTGTATGTGTAATTAAGACATGACATTATGATGATGGATAGACAACAACAAAAATGACGTATTCTAAATTTGGGAGAAGAAGCAGATCAAGACGAAATCAAAGCAGACGAAATAAAATTCTACAACCAACCAAATAGCCAACCTACCGACCAGCGGACAACATAAAACCCATGCCATGCTCTATTTATAAATACCAAAGTTCCATGACAGTGTACGTATGCACGTGTGTAAGTGTATGCAAAACAAGGAGAGCACAAAAACAGAGCAATATTTCATTTCAAGCTATACACACAGAAGTGTTCCCCAGTGCTAAATGGGGGGAATGGGGGGGAAAGACAACCAAAAGATTACTTTTCTGTTACAATTGATACCTCAAACATGTGATATGTAGGTCCCAAGGCCTTCACGTTCCCAAGCCTCTATGATACTATAGCTGGGGTATTTCATGTCCCCAAGTCTCTATCTGTGAGTTAGCTTTATTAAGATTTTCACAACTCTTGCAATGCAAATAAGTAGTATAAGTGCCAACATCTTTTTTTTTTTTTTAACTGTTGTTGCTTTAGTAAGAGTCTTACGGCACTTGCAACACAATTAGGTCACATAAATGCAGAAGATTAGAGGTGTTACAGGAGTATCAAACACAAAAAAGGTGGAGAGATAAAGACAATAGATGTTTGATAGAATGAAGGAGCAAAACACATCAGTGCATCTGCCAACCACTAACTGTACCAAAGTCTACAGGTATTGCTATAAAGTAACAAAAAATAGTTTTGTTTTAGTAAGAGTTTTATGGCACTTTGAATACAAGGCCATATAAGTGCCAAAGATGGGAGGAGTTACAAGAGAGTAACAAACACAAAAAAGAAGGAGGAGCGATAAGGACTATAGATGTATGAAAGGAAAGAAGGAGCAAACCACACCAGAGCACCTGTCAGTAACAAACAAAAAAAAAAGGAAAAAAGAAAAAAAAGAAAAAAAAAGATATAGACAATAGGAAAGAGGGAGCAAACCACACCGCAGCACCCACCAACCACCCACTCAAGCTGTTAGATGTCCAATCTCATTACTCCTTCCATCATTAACTTAACTCCCGTCCCATGTCTAGAACATGTACACTAAAAAACAAACCCTCTAAGATTAGCATGCAAAAAAACAAAACTAATTGACAACATCCACTAGGAGACACTAGGACAACCACACACAACCAGGCCATCACAAATTCTAGAACATCAGAGCCTCAGCTTCCCTGAATGAGAGCATCCAACGGCCAAAGGAGGAAGTCGAGAAATTCTTGACAGCACCTACAAGTCTATACGCATACCACAGGGGCCCCACAAACTCATAAACGCAAAGTCAAGACAAAAGGAGATACTTATCATTGGCCAGTCTCACACGCAGACCACAAGACACACCATATCTTTTGGCCATAACTGCACTGCATGATAACAAAAATCAACAATTCAATTTCGAAGCTGATTACAAACAGCGGTCATCTAACACAAGGGACCCATTTACACTAGACAAAGAATAAGCCAAACGCAAAGTATCCAAATACAAGAATAAGTCAAAAGCAATGTTTCAACACATTTCACTCCATGGAGAGAAACCAAACATTTCAAACAATGACATTTAGAGTAGAAAAAAAAATGTGTGCAACACCATACAACCACAGGAAAAGGTGAAGAGGAGTTGAAAAGCACAAACTCCCCACCCTCCAGTCATCTGTTATTGTGCAGTGTTTTTTTTTTAATTTATTTGCTTTACCGTAGGAAAAGTCTGGGTTTGTTTTAGTAAAGGTTTTACGGCGCTCGCAACAGCATAAGGTCATATGAGGGCCAGAAGATTAGATGTGTAACAAGAGAGTAACAAACATAAAAAAGAAGGAGGGGGAGATAAGGACGATAGACGTTTGATAGGGAAGAAGAAGAAGCAAACCACACCAGACCACCCGCGGAAAAGTCTAATCATTAACGGAAGATTTTAAGGAAAAGTCTAATAATTGGCTTCCTTAAAAATAAAATATATCTTAGTGGACTAAACGGGAAACGGATCAAATGACTGATCAAGACGAGGGCAACACTGGGAAATTGTGACTACTGCCCTATAAAGTTGGCTGTTGTCATTGTCATTGGTGGGTCAGATAAGCACAAGTCAAACAAAGACTAGCAAACATATGTCAGCAATAGACAGGGAAGCTATGCATGTCGACCCCCAGTAATACAAACATCCTTGTTGCTTCAACTAAAGAGCAAATGATCTTAATCTCTTACTACAACATTATAGACATCTGGAGGAGAATCGAGAGCTCTAGTCAAAATTAGTGTAGAAGAAAGTAATCGCAAAAAACCCACTTCCCTCACATTACAGACCAGACCGACTGCCCCTCCCCCCTCCCCTTCAATAACTGTGGCAAAAAATCTAACTGCTGCCAAATCCCCCCCCCCCCCCCCCCACCCGAAGTTGAACATGTCAAAACTCACCAGTATGTTGACAACATTGGAGATCATGCTGTCATGATTTCTCTTCTTGTACACCTGAAAGAGATGAGACAAACGTTCAAAGTTAACAACAACTAAAAAACCCCCACCAAAGTAACTGTCAAAGTTTAACTTCGTAAACATTCGCTAGTTGCTAAACTGTTCTGAAGAAAGTCTCTACCTCAACGCATATTATCAGGCTCTGAACCCGAGCCTTCTCACATGGAAGTATGAAGGCAAGCACAGGAACCAGCACTCAAATACAACCACACAAAGCCTCTGACACCCACTGGTTATTTTGTTTAAGTAAAGAAAAGCACATTGAAATAAGAATGGTCATTTTGATACTAGAAAATTTTTTTTATATTAATAATAACGGACAGAAATAGCAGGAAGGGAAAGAAAAGAAATAGGACCCACCAGTGGCACCCCCCCCCCCCCCCCAAAAAAAAGACAAAAACCCATCAGCACACCGGCTACATTTTCTTAATCAAAGGGTTGTCATAAAGGCCCATTTTGTAAAAAGATCTCAAGAAGACAACACAGATGTACTTTGGACCCCCAAAAAGTTTTGAACTTTTTTTCATAATCTAAAGAGCAAAACAACAAATAGGACAGTTGTTGTAAGTTGTACTAACAAAATTACAGGCGCTGTTTGGTAAAGTTTTACTACGCTTGCAACTGCATACAGCCATATGATCGTGCAGGACACATGGTGGTTGTTTTCAAGTTAGTTCACAGCACGTCTTGGTTTTATTTTAAAAGCCAGAAAGAGGCATGTCAGGCTCTTTTTGCTAGATAGACAAAAAGATAAAAAGGACAGAAGGAGGATCAACTGTAAGTGGCCTCGAATTATAAGCTTCTCAGAAACAGCCTGCAGCAGGCACCCTGGACTCATGTAAGAGAAATGGAACTGTCCCAGAGCACCCACCAAAGTAAGGTGGAGGAGAGATAAGAACAATAAATGTCAGATATGAGAAAGGGAGAAAACCACATGAGAGCACCTGCCAACCACCACCAACCCACCCACCACCAACCCACCCACCAAGACAGGAGAAAGCTGTGTTGCAAAAAGACGAAACTTAAGCTAGCAAAACGAAAGGAAAGTGGCCACAGAACAGAGCGGACTTACAGCTCTTATACTTGGCATTGCTAGCACTTGGTCCACCGTGGGTCGACGGTTGTAATCTGTTTCCAGCATGCTAGTGATCACAGCCTTCAGTTCTGGACTCCGCTCTGGGAAGAATAAACGGGTGATGAAGAAAATAAGAGGAAAAAAAAAGGAAAAATAAAATCAAAATCAGGTGAACAAACACAACAAAAACCAACATTTCAATAGTCAACAGGTGAACCAAAACATAAAAAATCAACAAGTGAACCATCACAATAGAAACCCAACATTTCAATAATCAACACGACAACAACCAACATCTCACTTTTCAACAGGCGAACCAACACATTAAAAACTGACAGGTGAATCAACACATCAAAAAAACAAAACAAAAAACAGGTGAAGTACCAACACAACATAAACCTTTTAGTTTTAGAAGAGGTTTTACAGCGCTCGCAACTGCATACGGTCAAATGAGCGGCAGAAGACTAGAGGTGTTACAAGAGACTAACAAACATAAAAAAGAAGAAGGGGGAGATAAGGACGATAGATGTTTGATAGGAAAGAAGGAGCAAACCACACCAGAGCACCCGCCAACCAACCACAACATAAACCTGCAGGCAAACCAACAGATCAAGTCAACAGGTGAACCCACACAGTATAATAAATAAACCAACACACGAAACAACACTTCAAAAACCCAGGACCCGACAAAAACCTTTCTCTGAACGCCATCACAAAACAAATAGAAAAGAAAATACCTCGAAAGAATTCCGAGGGCAATGAGCCATTACGCAGCAGGTGCCAGAGCTGGCCTCCCCTCGGAATCTCAACATTGTGGCAGATCTCCAAGAAAAAAATTCCCAGGGAGAAAATGTCAGCGTGTTTGCCAAACTTTCCCTCCAACAACTCAGGTGCCAAGTATCTGGGATCTCCCTCCACTGGGTCGTTCACTTCTTTTTTCTGAAATGAAACAACAAAAGATAACCACAGTAGCAAACATCAAATTCACCTAATCTAATAAGATAATAACTAATTGTTATCTTAACATTTAGTTCCATAAAGTTCAAAGCATTCAACCCTCCACCCAATCTGGCTTTTGTCAACAACCCAACCCATTGTGAAGTTTAAAGTTTGGGTTTGATCAGTGAAAAACCCACCCTGCAGTCCTACAAGTACAGCTGCCAACTTTTCAAAACCAAAAAGTATTAGATTCAAGGGTGGGTGTCAATATGGTGGGCATTAGAGAAGTAACCCCCCCCCCCCCCCCAACATCACTATTCTGTATATGATAAAATTCAAACTATGTCAACTGTGAGAAATGTTTAGCGAAGGTCTCTCCAAATAACTTACGGGCTGGGTACTCATTATTATTCGCAAATCCCCTTTTGAAAGTTCATAATTTTTCTTCAACGTCATTAAATCTGAGTGGAGTATCAACAAAATATCATAAGTGGGGTATCAAAAAGCCCAGAATGAAAATTATGGGTTTGGCTCACCTTGGTGAGGTCAATGACCAGTCCAAAGTCTCCCAACTTGCAAACGCCATCAAAAGAGATGAAAGCGTTCTCTGGCTTGATGTCCATATGAACCAAGTTGTGGTCGTGAAGGTGTTTCACTGCCTGATGGTAGACAAACCAGCCACAAAACAAAATTAAAATAGATAAAAAGTTTGACCATATGATGAAAGACACCACAGCCACAAATAAAGACATTAAAAGACTAGGGAAAAAACTAACAACCCCCCCCCCCCAACATTTCTACAAATCAGTCTACATTGTTAGTAAACAACTAATGTCAGAATCTTTAAATTGCATCCAATATTTTCAAATTATTAGGATTTCTCAATACCTCTTGCTTTTAACATAATGTACAATGTTCATATGAAGCTAGTTTTCCTTTTACCAAATATACATATCGAATATGCTGGAGAGCAACACGTCCACAGCCCTAAATACAAACCCAATAGACCAATCTGGGCTCACATCCTGACATATCAACCTTAATTAACTTTATTATCATAATGACCAATAACACATAAATTAAAAAACTCCTTAATGTGCGAGCAGAACAATAATAAACTTCTTACAAATTTGACAAAGATGAACATATAAAAGACAAAATCTGGCTATCTACTTCCCCTCCTCTAGATTGAACAAATAATAAAAGTTTGACATTTTATTTCATCTTATAATAAAGATGGGAAAGAAGCTGTGAAGCATGAAGAATTAAGTAGAGGTTTTACGGCGCTCGCAACTGCATACGGTCATATGAGCGCCAGGAGATTCGAGATGTTACAAGAAAGTAACAAACATAAAAAAGAAGAAGGGGAGATCAGGACAATAGATGTTTGATAGGAAAGAAGGAGAAAATCACACAAGAGCACCCGCCAACAACCAAGTTTCAATGAATCAATCTCAGGAGCTTACCATAAGAAGATCCACCATATAATTCCAGATCAGCCTTTCTGGTAAATTGTGGTTCTGGTAGCAGTACTCAGAAACGCTGTTCAAAGAAAAAGTAATTATTAAGACATGCAGCTAAATACACATAAAATAGGTAAAATGTTTTTTATTCCATTAACTCAAGGACATTCCATCACAAAAAAACCTCCAAAATTGTTCAGACACCATTGGCACTGACAAAATCACAAGAATGAGGATAAAATGATGTGAACACACATGACCAAACGTGAACATGATAGACAGTCGGTCATCAGCGTTAGAGAAAGGTTATTCATTAATTATCCTATGAAACATCTGAGGAAGGCATCCAAAAAATGTCCCTCGTGGATCAATAAAGTTTCTCATCTTATCTACAATAATATTATGTTGAACCAACACAACTGAAGTCAGAACAAACAGGTAAAAATTTACTTCAGATATAACATCAAATAAGTGCAACTTTCTGGGCAAGCATTCTCAATACTACTGTTAGAAGAAAAAAAAAAGCAGAAAAAAAAGTGACAACCCAGCACAGTGAACAGCATTCATTCCATAACAACTAACTTAGCAGGAACGCGACACGTCACCTGAGGTCACAGAGCTCGGTTTGGATGTACAAGTGGCCATTCTCCTCCCAGGCCCTTACAAATCCAATGCAGTTGCGGTTGGGGGGAAGAGTCTCGTGCTTTGCTACCTCTTCCAGCTTCCGTTTCCTGGAGGAGAAAAACACCAAATATAAATAAAGGAACCAGAAACTATGTTCTGAACGATGTTCAGAGACAATCATTTAAAAAATACTAAGTTTTCCTAAATAATTAGGAAACATGTTTCTCACTGGAAGAGATCATTAAAATATAAGTATAAGCAGACTCTAACAAACCAAAATTAACTCACAGGTGTCAAAAATCTTATTACATTTCAATAAGAGTGTTACGGCATTTGCAATGGAATACGGTCATATAAGTTCCAAGGGTTCGAGGTACTACAGGAGGGTAACAAACACAAAAAAGTAGGAAAGATAAGGACAACAGATATATACTTGATAGGAAAGACAGAGCAAACCACACAAGAGCATCCACCAACCACTAATAATTGACTCTTTTAGTTTAGTTTCAGTAAGTGTTTTAGAGCACTTGCAACACAATTAGGTAAATATATCAGTTCTGAAGATTAGGTGTTATAAGAAATAAATAAACTAAACACAAAAAAAAAAGGAAAGGAGATACTGTCAATAGATAATTAATTAACAGAAAAAAGAGCCAACCACACCAGGGCACCTACAATGGACTGAATAAGAAACAATGAAAGCCACAATGAGACCCAACACAACACGGCATTATACGGCAATTTTGAACCATCAGAACAGGGCGCTCACAAGAAAGCTCACGACACAAAGACAAAATGACTTTACCTGTCAAACTGCCCCTTGAATCTCTCCCGAGATTTCTTCACAGCATAATACTTCTTGTCTTCCTTACTCTTTGCCTTGAAAACCTACATGCAACCAAAAAATATTTATAAAGCAAAGGTTCACAAAGACCAAAAAAAAAAACCTGTTCAATGCAAAATGCAAACAATATATATTATGTAATCAAAATATCTTTCTTCACAATTTGAAATCCCGAACCGTGGTAAGGATACGCACGGAAGGCAAATGATTTAATCAGAATAAATATCTTAAACCAAAGAACTAAAAGAATCCCAACAATTTGATGGCTTTAGGCAGACTGCTCTGCAAACGATTATCAATTAATTATTACCAAGGATGCCAACTGGCTATTCATTTAATCTTTGGTAAATGTGACCTTCTCAGAATCTACACTTACTTTACTTTATATGAAAACAATGAATAAAAGAAGAGAATAACATGTGAAATACTTTCTAAAAAGAATTTGTTTGCGCAATACTCCAAGCACAAGCTTAATGAAAAACAAAGTCAATTGGGGGTGGGGGGGGGGGAAGGAAATACAACTACTGCATGACACTTCAAAAGGAAACCAACCCAAAAAGAAAAGAAAAAACAAACTTACCTCTCCAAACGAGCCAAAGCCGATGGGCTGCACATCAGTGAACATTTGTTCAAAGTACAGGGCCTTAGAGTTCTCATTGTACTTAGGGCTGAGCATAGCTGAGAGGAGGTCAAGGTTAATAACACGACATTTGAGTGGCAAAGATACCCCTGAGGCCACCACCAAGACAGAAACTATCTAGAATATAAACATCAGCAAAATAACATTTATAGAAAACTGCATTAGATCAAACTTGCACATTTTTTTTTTTCAAATTGGTAATAAGAAAAACTCTCAAGATATTCACTTGATAGACTGAACAAAACTCGACAAATGTAAGACGACATATTCCTCTTCTGTATTTTTTTTTTGCTAAATTTTTACTCCAGCTTAAACCCAACCGACTGGTAACAATTATTGACTGGGGCTAGACATTCTTTTAAAATGACCCAATCCATTTATCATATTATGAACTAACATAAAATTTGTAAAAATACGAAGCCCACAAACAACTTTATTGTTAGTTTTCCATCTCATTACAGTTCTAAGAAGATCGACAAAATTTTATAGATCTTTGTCAGAAAACTTGGGCTCCACTGGCAAGTACGAAGACAACAAATCAAATACAATATACAAGACAATATCCGAGTGCACATAAAAATACATCATTACTGGTCAAGACGCATATTCTTTAACTCTTTGAACCGCGTCCAGCGGTAATAACCCTGTTCCCCACTGGACGCTAGGGGAGGTCTGATACTAGTGACAACATTTTCGTTTTATTTAGAGCTAGTTTTTGCTTGTTTTTCAGAACTATTACCGAAGCAAAGTCTTTTAGTAATGACTAAGCATTTGTTTCCGCCATTTAGAAGTTGGAGGCAAGCTTTTGGGTTTATATTGAGACATAGTGTGATAGTGCACCAGGTTTAGGTGACTAGAAAAAACCCATGGAAACGGAAAAAACTCTGGGTTTAAAAGAGTTAATGGGGTAACAGATGTGTCCTTCTCAAGCACAAATACCAGTGACTACCCACTTAAAATACTTAGAAGTCACTGTATCATTGGCACTGCTTGACGTTCTCGAACCTGAGCTGAATAACTAACCTACCACTGGAACCTTTGTCTTGTTCATTATATAAATATTGCAAACATTACGTCAAGGGAAAACACAAAAGGATACAGCCTTCAGGGTGCCTAAAGGTGACTGGTTGGGCATGGGCGCTTGCAAGAACATTTTTATGAGGAAAGACTCGACTCAAAGGCGGGCAGCTTTTCACTGGCGGCCGAGGGGGAAGCTGGTCTTTTGGGGTTCCAGCCAACTTCAACTGCAGAGGAAAAAAAGGAAAAAGTTAGCAACATAACACATAGGTTATATTCTACTTACTACACAAATAAAAAAAACACACTGTAACTTTTAAGAAACAAAACTACAATTCCACAACAGCCTCAAAGAAGAACCAAAAGAAAAACAAAACATTTTTTAAAAACAATCACCCCTTGCCCTTTCAATGAAGGCCCCAGAATTCTTGGAGCCCATGTAGTTCACAACTACATATGGAACATCCTGCTGTAACATCAGTCCCAATTTTTTTTTATAATATAAGATAAAATATTCAAATTCCACGAGCAAATTTGGCAAGACAGTATCAGAGCTGTTGGTGAAGATCAAAGACATTTCAACTTCAAGGAGTAGGCCAACACGGAACAATTGAACAAGCAAAGGACAAGTATACTATACTTCACTCCAGACCTCCAGCAAGAAACTGGAGTGGGAATGGAAGTAAAACCGTAGGTTTTGTTGTTGTTTTTTGGGGGGTTTTGTTGTTGTTGTTTTGTGTTGTTTTTTTTT